TGGGGCTTCTCAACTCTTCAGGCAGGGCGTCTACACCCCTGCTCGGAGCTTCACTCCATGGTGGCCCTGAGTGGGTTCCCAGTCAAATAAACCAATCACCACTCCTATTTGGGTCCTCCTTAAAAGAGGCCTTGAGCTGATGTAACTCAGAGGCCGCACCCACACATTCACTGCACAACAGTTTTTTCTTGTTTTGTTGAGACGGAGTCTCGCTCTGTCGCCCAGGCTGGAGTGCAGTGGTGTGATCTTGGCTCACTGTAAGCTCTGCCTCCTGGGTTCAAGAGATTCTCATGCCTTAGCCTCCCGAATAGCTGGGACCACAGGCAGGTGCCACCACGCCTGGCTAATTTTTTGTATTTTCAGTAGAGACGGGGTTTCACTGTGTTAGCCAGGATGATCTCGATCTCCTGACCTCGTGGTCCACCTGCTTCGGCCTCCCAAAGTGCTGGGATTACAGGTGTGAGCCACCATGCCCGGCCTGCACAACGTTTATTCCAGTCAAAAGTGAATTACAGAAAGGGTGAGACTCCAGAGAAAGATGTCAGCTGAATCCTGACACACAGCTAACACTGCAAGCTCAACCCACAGCAATCTTTTTGCCATGAAAGTTCTCCTTTTGATGTTGTTCCTCCTAACAGGACTTGACAATAAAGATGGGGCAACCCGAGGAAAAGTGAAGCAAAAGAAAATTGGCTGGGCGTGGTGGCTCACCCCTGTAATCCCAGCACTTTGGGAGGCCGAGGCGGGCAGATCACCTGAGGTCATGAGTTTGAGACCAGCCCAGGCAACATGGTGAAACCCCATTTCTACTAAAAATATAAAAATTAACCGAGTGATAGTGGCAGGCACTTGTAATCCCAACTACTCAGGAGGCTCAGGCAGGAGAATCTCTTGAACCCAGGAGGCAGAGGTTGTGTGAACTAAGATTGCTCCATTGCATTCCAGCCTGGGTGACAGAGAGAGACTGTCTCAAAAAAAAAAAAAGGAAGAAAGAAAGAAAAAAAAAAGAAAATCATTCCAGAAGCTCCCTGGTGAACTAGAATATCCACCAGGGCACTGCATAACCCCAGTGTCATGTTCTGGCCACCTGTCAGCATTCAGTGCAGAGGGCAGAGCCGCTCTCGTTATTGCCGCAGAGGCACTTGGCAGGGCAGTGAGACATGATGACAGACACTGGGTCTCCAGGGCAACTTGCAGGACAATTTGCTGGATGGGATGCTCCAGCCGCTGGGCCTGGACTGGCTGGGTGGGAGAATCTGCCCGTCAAGTGAGGCCCCGCCCCCCAATGCCTCTCCAGGCAGCTGGTGCAGCCCACGCCTGCCACAGAGGAGCCCTGCATGCCCACAACCATGGGCCAGGCATGGAGATGGTGGGCACGTCTGTCTCACCTTCCAGATGTGCCTATGCAGCTAATGTGCAGCCCTCACCACATCTGCAGCTCTCCGGTGACGGGGTCTGAGCACGTCGTGGTCGTCTCCAGCAGCAGATGCAGGAGCAGCAGGGATGTGGGAAGGAGGCACCGCACCCGGGGGCCCCATCTGCTGCTCCCACAACAGGCCCCTGCCATCGTGCAGATGCAGCCTCTCTGCTCTGCCCACCCAGCTGCCACCGATGGACCTGTATCCAGCCTTCTCCTGGCCCTCCGCCCCAGGGCTCCTGCTCACAGCCTTCACACCATACCTCCCTACCTGGGACCCGGCCACACAGCTGCTTCCTACACCCCAATCCAGAGGGGGCGTCTGACCAGCTTTATGAGACCCCGGCCCCTCTGGGTGCCACTATTCAAATGATCTATCTTAACAAAAAAAATTTTTAAGACAAAATTAAACAAGAGAACAATGAACATTAAAACCAGTATATTAACAAGAAGAATATATAAATATAATACAAAAACCAGTGTAACTGCTATTCTTTAGGACTGAGGTTCTCAGAGTGCTTCACCTCATTTAATCTCAGCAAAGCCCCTCTGAAATGGGCAGAAGTGGTAGACAGCTGGGCCGGGCTGTGGGAAACGCCTGTTCTGGACAGTGAGGTCTCCATTAGCCAGCCTTGATCAGCGGCACCTGACACAGGGCTCT